TACCATATCGCCCATAATCCCCTCCATCCCGACAGACCCCTTCCAAGCTTTAGTCGGAAAGGCGACCTGAGGGGTCACCGGTTATGAATAGAGCATGTACAAGGATTCATGCTAACTCATTTGCAGTTAAAGTCTGTAAACTGTGGAGTTCCCTCCCTTCAGCAGTTGTTACAACCCCATTCCCTTATACTTCTCAAAGGAGGTTAGACGCACACCGAGTCCTACTGTACCGATGGGCTATACTCGAGAAGCTTTCCCCAGATCAGATGCAGTAATACTTCATTGAGACCATATTAATTAATAATCGTATCTCGATCCTTTCAGGTTTTTGAGAACCGGGGAGACCATTCCAAACTCAGAACGTATTCCAACAAAACAGACATAGAACTCAAGGAACCGCCATTCACTAGTTCTACAACACGAAGTTTGAGGTTTGAAGCTTATAACTGTAAAATGGGGGTTTCACGTATGACGGTGACGCTAGTAGTTTCACAAATGATAAGATAATTCGCTGAAGTAAGGTGACGGAGAATTTCGTGTAGACTGAGAGAAACATGTTTGACAAATCTGGATAATAAAGGGGAATTAAAAGGGAAAGGTAGACAATGATGAGGTAGCTGTATAAAATGAACTCAGCAGAAAGGGAAAAAGTAGACAAGTAGGGGGAAGGAGGAAAGCTGCTTAGAGTAGGAAAATAGACATGTAGGTTGCTTGAGAAAGACGACTTCAAGAAGGCAAAGGAGACAACCAAGAGGAAAAGATGCATAAAGGGGAACTCACTTGCATTTATCTACGATTTTCGCTTCGCTTTACTCTGGATTTCCCTCTTATTTTCCCTATACAAGCCTTGTTTCTGCCGTTTTGGCCTGTGTGGGGCACTTTTGTACTTTTGATAACTTCGGGGAATAATTCGGGCGTGGAGTAACTCGGGACTTGTGACGGATTCAGGAGAAGAGTTTGGTTTTTCTGGGTGAATATTACTCATCCTCACTCGTGCCCTCAGGAAAATGTTTGGTTTTTACTCCAAACATAAAAGGTGTACTCAAATTCTAAGTTAGAAAACCTAATTAACATTTACTTGGGGTCAAATATTGGAATATGAGAAAGAATTGTATTGAAAACTGTAGGAAAGAGGAGTAATTTTGCAACATTTCCCCGAGTGTTATGGTATGTCATTTTGGGCCCACGTCTCCGACTTTCTCCTCGCGGCATCAGTTTGCCCCATGTTTCATTCACTTTTTTCTGTTTAGTTAGTCACCATGTGAATTGCCCAGCGTTGCTGGCGGTTCGTCTCTCGCTTTTTGATGTCACAATCTGCCGTGTCTTTCCTCAAGTTTCTCCGTGTATATGTTGCGTGGGGAGATTATCCAGTTGTACTGACTTACAAACACCTGTCCCACTGACCCAGGGTAGGCCCAGAGACAGTAAAAAACCTGTAGGTAAGTCCATTGAAAATTTTGTTAACCCACCACTGAATGAGCTTTGAATATTTGTACCAGGCATTTTTCTGGAGAAAAAGAGATCCAAATCCAAATGAATTGAGGCGTCTATAAAGACTAGGACTTCAAAGAAGAAAATGTAAGAAGCTATTGAAGGCTGTAACCACTGCTTCCGAAATGCAATACAGCCTTTTGGAATATTTAGTCGGCGGATCGTTACATCCATAAGATGAACTTATTACCTGAACCTGTTTGGAACAATACTCCGACACCTATCCGAATCTTATTTGGAAGTACAAGTGAAGATTGAGAAGTCAGGCAAATGGAAGGAGAAAAAAGATGTCCATACAAGATGTCTTGTAAAAGTCACGGGTGGTTGTGACGAACTCAAACTCGTCCTCAGGTATCCTCATGAGATTGACGATAGAAATGAGTAGAAAGGCAGTGGCTGACCTGAGCATCCGGTCATATCAAGAGGAAAAATCGGAATTCCGGCTTTTCGGCGATAAAGTTTCAAAGTCACTGCTTCCTACTGCAGTACTCATGATTCAGACATCTGTACAAACAGCTTAGTGGTCTACTACACTAATACCAGTGCAGAAATCCCATCCAATGTAGGTGATTTAGCTAAATGACCAGAACCAAATGTAGTAGCGATAGTTGAAACGCGGTTAATCAATGGTATGGATATCTCTCTACTCATCCCATACTACGCATGTATTTGGACGGAAAGTCTCAGCTCGTAAGGGTAGTGGCATAATCCTGGTCACTCAAGAGAACCTTGGGACATGCCACACATTTAAGGCGCGCTGCAGTGGCACACAAGGGACTATTCCTACGAAGTCAAGTTGAAGCAGTATGTCGTGAAATTAGGCGTAGGTTACAACAATCAGAGTTGTCCTGTCGGTGAACTCATGCTAAATTTAACTGGGGAGGAACGCACTGGCACTCTATCCCAGATGACCTTAGTGCACTCCATGCTCGTCATCTTTATGTTAGGAAGAAGTTTTGATGACAAGCTGCTTTGGAGTGCTTAATCATTCGTTGAACAAATTTAAGGAGAAATTGCATTTTCATACAGATAACGAATAGAAGGATTAACAGAGACCAATAATCGAGTATCCTTTCAGTTCAACAATTCGATAACAGATAGCCATTTTAGAGACATGAAGATTAGAGTGAACCGTTGGTTAGGCTAATTAACTATGCATGCCATTATTTCCATTGTAATAAATTGTCACTTCATGCAAAATAGCCAAATGAGATAATATACATGTCATCAAACCACTCAGCAAACAATGGCCAATCAAGGATAGTACAACTCACAGTAGGTAGTTAGTGAGTTCTTACCTACCTCTGTCTTTGGGATGGGTTACTCCACGGAGGGCACCTGACTAACTTCTAGCACGCAAACGACGTAATCCTTTTAGACGTATATACTGAGTGCCTTAAGCACAGACCAAAGTATACTCCACATGCATTTCGTACCTGTCAAGTGGGAGGTTAAGCTTCAGGACTGGTTTGCACTGACCCTCCTCATCAGCACTGACTACTAGTTTAAGGTTGTGTGGGCCGCTTTCAAAATTAGTGATGTATCCGACTGCTTGGTAATAGGTGAGTATACTGCACTGTAGTTTGCTTTGCCTTGCTATGCACCCGTGGGACATGGCCGTTGCAACGAAATATGAAAAAGTTGCATCTTTTGACCACTGGTGTAATCATAGTATTACTCGCGTGTAGTGGAATCACTACATGTGCTCTATCCAGGTCTAGCATTGAGATAAAGTTGGTTGACGACACGTCATACACTGTCTATCTTTATGTCTGAAGTTCGTACTGGCTAGGAATAGGTGGTCGTTTGAGCACTGTTGAAGCAGCTGATTGTCGTTATCCGTTCGTTGGTCTGAGATTCCGAAAATGTTAACTAAGTGACTTTCTACCTGACTTAGCGCTCCCATTTGTGCATTGAAATCAACTACTACAACAATCACATCTGAGCGTTTGACTTTCAGTTTGAGGCTAGACAGTTTTCGGTAGGAATCATTCCTCAATTCATGCAAACTGCAGTCAGTGGGCGCGTAATTAGAGACCAGGAAGAAACCAAGGAAAATTTCAGTGTTCTTTTTGGTTCTCACTGTGCCATTCAGTCGAACAGTGTGCAGGCTAGTGTCAACTGAAATCCAGTGTCCGTGTGCATTTCCTGCCGTATCGCTCAATACTACACATCTGCAAGACCGTGATAACGGGACAGAATCTCCGGAGACTCGGAACGTGAATTTTGCACATTCACCATGTTGGCTGAATGAGTTTAGATGAATAGCCGCACTTAAGTTCCGTATATATGTCTCACAAACACAGAAATGTACGACCTGAGACGCCAGATTGGTTGCTGAAACTTGTTGGACGATTTGATGGAGAATGCAGACATTCAAAGCTCCAATATGCTGTTTAGATTGCGGTTTCAGGAGACTACGAATGCTACCTCGAGATCTGCAGAGCTGGAAGAAATTAAAGTTAACGTAGGAGTGTTGATGGAGAAAAGTGAGTAAAGATTCGAAACCGAAGACATGGAAGGGTGATAATTTGGAGGGAGTTGAGTGCTACAGCGTTGTGAGACACCGTGGAAGGTTATTTCTTCTGTAGGCACCTGTAACAGGAATTATATATATACTACGAATGATGTACCTGGGGAAGGAGAAGGAGAGACTTCAGAGCAGTTAAAATGCAGAAACTGCTTATCAAGTATAACTGTTCGTTGAAACGATATGAGAAGTTGCGAGGTTATGGACAATAACAAACTTAATACGTAAACCAATGATTGGAAACGAAAGTGACATGGCTCAAAATTAATTGCAGTTTCTGAAATGTATCTATTTTTAATGCAAGACTCGAATACTGCTCTTCTGTTCAACTTTTATTTTATATTTTAAAATGATTTACTCTCCGTTTAGATCATTACCATGGCTGTTATCTCCTCTAATTTTACTACTTCCCGTTGTCTGTTTGTGAAGCGTTGAAATTTCACACCACTTTTGTTTAAGATTCTTAATTATTTTGTATCATGATGTTTAAATAATCTTAGTCAATCGCAATAATCTTGCATTATCTTCGAACCACCTTCGTGAAAGTAACTAGCCACTTGGTAGCTGAGCTGAGTTTTTAACCTGTAAACACATTCAGAAGTTAAGTGCCTAGACCATCTAATCGTAACTTGACATTGGTATTCTCCTGTGCTTCGTATGTATTCATAGAAACAGAAACTAAGTTCGTCAGGTAATCAGAAGTGAAGTAGCAACTCGATCTTCAATGGTAATCGTTTAAAAAGCTCATTCAGTTAAACTGCTTTCAGAGAATCACATTTCTATTTTATCATCTTCATTATGAATGTGCGAATATCTTTTCATATTTCAAAAGTTATAAAGTATTTATAATTGTTTATTTTGAGCAAAGTTTTATCTTAATTTTCTGGTTATTTCTAGAATATCTCCGGCATAAAGCTTTTCTTATTTGTTTGCTCTACAAAATTATTATAACTCAACATCATCTTTGGAAAGCTGTAACATGGATCATGCACATCATCATCCACCAACCCACTCTGGTATGCAATCGGCAGCTCATTCAATGGATATGAAAGTATGCTGTGTCCCTGTTATACAAGATTATTTGTAGATGTACTTCAACACAGATCTTCACTATACACTACTTTTTTCACCTTGGGTTATCGACACGGTTGGAAGTATATGATATTTTTTAAAGCACACCTTTTATTTGCAGAAGCCGTTGTGGCATGTCTTGGTTCTTTCCTTTTTGCCATTATATATGAGGCTTTAGAAGTAAGTTATTGTCGTAGACATTCAGCATCGTTTGAATTTGATGAAATTTGCTTTTATATGAAACCAGTTTGTAGTTATACCTTCTTATAAATCATGGTCGTAAAGCAACCTCAAGGGTATCAATTTAAAAACGAAATGCTATATATTGGCGTCGAGTATTGTATAGTGTTTGGATTCTCATTTCATACCAAAGAAACCTGTCCGAATGTTATTGACTGTTCTGTTTTTCTCTTAAGAGATAAAAGATGGTGATTCAGCGTACATATTCTTTCCAGTGATTTCGTTCTCAAAGCTTTGCGGCCTCATTTATACAGTTTTTTTCATGAACATATCTAGCTCATGAACTAAATACAACAGTTTTTGTTTGAAGGATATAGTAATTAACAAAATGATTTGCTATGAGTCAAAACTAGCGGTTATGAGTAGAAAATATTAGTCAAAAACAGAATGAAGATAAATATACTTGCGTAACAAATTGTGTAGCATGATAAAATATTTGAAAATTTAACTATTATCAACAAGAGTATGGTACTCGGAAGTAAGTGATATTAGGTAAGGGTAAAACTTGGATATTGTGGTAAAGTGTAATCCCATATTAGGTTGTTTACTTGATATAGCACACAGAGATACAGTATTATTTACTAGATGAAATTCGTAGCAGAATTTCCTGCCCAATATCATATCAAAGTTCGCTTTTATAGCCAAACAGCTCTTCGTTCTACCATCTTTGAGATAAAATTCCCCAAATATCTGCAGTATGTGTTGATTTTTTGAAGCTATATGTTCGGTGTTGATTCAGTGAGTGAAGATTCGGTAATCAATCTCTCCCGCCACTTAGCTATGTTGGATTCATCCTATCTCACCCTATAGTGACCGTGAATCAGTGCATGCAGAGAGCAACAGCCAAGTTTATCTCCAGATTACCTATCTTAGTAGGGTCTATCATTGTGCATTTCGTCATATTTTTGTCCTCTGTCATTCTGACTGACCTCAGTCGGTTGTTTTGACCTGCATACGTAACCTGGCAGCTATTAAATGATATTTAGTAGACTAGTTAATTTAGTTGGATTAGATCTATTGAGTTTTTTAGCCTACAAAGTTTCTCTCTGAAGAAGCTTGTGGGTCTAAATGCTTACCTAGCTCTCAGAAGTATAAGGAATCCTACGTAAGTTTCCGATCTGCCTTCTTTATTTGGCTGTGCTAGAAAGGATTTCAATCTTCACTAACGCTGTTGCTCCGTCTCTTATGAGTTCTCATAAACATTTTAATAAAATCTGGAGGGTAGTTATTGAGTAGTGATGTCTCTTCGTTGCTTGAATTCATTACTTAGATTTTCTGATTTCGATCTCTATTACTTAAACATTTTATCAAGCCTACCTTTACAGATGCAGGATAAGACGATATGAAATCCGAATGTAATGGTTTGCCATAAAAACTGATGTCTGAACTGCCATTTTCTCTTCTCCTGACCTTAAAAACCAATATGGGTAATTCTCTTTAGTTTTTTAATGCATAAGTGGATGGGGGCATATCCAGCATCGAGTTTGTGTGGGAAAAAACTGATATATTTTTATTTTAACGCAGTAAATGTCCTCAGTGCTATTTGCTCCCAACTCTCCATAGAAATATCTGCTACGATGTGGAACATTGGAGATCCCATCACCACTCCTGTTTGTTTCCGAATTTGAGAACTGGAAGTTGAGCATAATTGTACCCCTAGCACGACCTCTTCAATCAAATCTTTTGTTCTATTATCGAGTTCATGGCCAGTGGTGATTTTATTTCTGATTCCTTCAAACAGCATAGTTAATGGTATAGTTGCTTAGAGGTTGGTCACATCAAAACTGACTATTTTGTCTCCTATCATCTGATTTTATATTATCTAGCCTTTGCTTCAAATCGAAGGTATTGGTTAACTTAGGACGATTTCTAATAGAGCACAGTACTATAGCTAAACATTTAAATTGCTCATATATTGGTATGTTTCTGAAGTCAACTATCGGCCTATTAGAATAACCTGGTTTGTGAATCTCGATGGTACCATGCTTCCTACTGGGATTATTCGTTTCGTATTATTAACATTCGTTGTATAAAAAGCCAAATCATTCCCAAATATTTTCGTTTGTGAACCCTGATGTCAACAGAAGAATCGAGAACAGTAAAACAGGTTAGCAGACTCTGAGAGAACTCCACAAGTTTATCAATAGACTGGGCAGGGTCCGTGATGACGCTGAAGAACTGAGATAAAAACTTTTAAGACGGTAAATAACAAAGACTATGAACTTCTGGTTGGAGCACCACTAGACCCAAACAAACTTTTCCACAAATCCAAAGTACTCAAAATAAAACCTGCAAATTAGTGGGAAAAAATACCCCACAAAAAGGAACAGAGCTACTAGTGAGACACTAATTATTAACCGAACAAACTGAGCGGACACTTTAAAGAAGAGAATTAAGCTAGACTAGAAAAGTGAACTTTGAAAGTTACGTGATCACTGTGATGCGATTGTGGGCAAGAAATTCTGCTGGAAACACCATCCAGTAAATAATACTATATTACTGTGTGCTCTTTCAAATAAACAATCTAGTATGAAATTAGCAATTATCTAAAAGGTGGACGGAATGAAACCGGGTTGTAGAGGCAATGGTCTAAGTAGCTTAAGAATATGACGCTAAAAGAAGGAAACGTTTAGCTAGTTTTCCTTTTGTATAGAACCCCGGATCTCAATCGGATGGTTAAGGCTTCAGCAGTACAAAGGTCTAAAGACGTAATACTTGTAATAAACTTTTTCTCGCCATGTAAGTAGCTACAAAGGAGGAAATTTTCAACAGTGACACTAGGTTGTATGATTATTCCACTTCCAATAGATTCACTACTACCTCTTCTCTACCACACGAGATAGTTGTAGTAAGTCTTCGTCTCCTTTGTGTCACTGAAGCCTTAGACATTCAGCTAAAAGGTCGTTTTTTGCTGAGATAATTCTTTCCTACTACATACTTGCATTGGTTACCAGAAAATTAAAAGAATGAAAGGGAATATATGGGACTAAATAGGATTGGTTAACGTGAAAGATCCTTTCAAGCAGTGAAGCAACCACAATGCGAAAATCTTGGACTTTAGGATCCCGAGAATATGATTGACAAATAAACCTTTATTAGTCACTAGCTACTTTGACAATGCAGAGTGCAATATATTTCCTGTATCCTATTGATGGAATCTTTGAATCAAAGGCTTAATGTGAATAATCCTCTAAGATTTTTTCACCGTATTTCACACCCTCAGATAATACTAGAATCTTTAAGGGGATCACCAAAAGGGAAAAATTAAAAAAACATTCACAAATGGTAATCAAGAGCCGTAATGAAAATTATTCTATTAAGAGCGAATAATTAGATATCAATTTTGTGGTAGTTGATAGTGTATATAAAATATTTTGGTTTTTTTTCATGTAGCCAGTGTACCATCGAGCAGCGAAGGGAAAGATTTTCTTTAAATATGGTTGCAAACATTCTTTTAGATATATCACACAATAGATACCACTACCAACCCTACTTAGATTCTCTTCTTTCCTCTGCATGAGCAGGAAGATGGATTTTCAAGTAGATAGGTGAAGTACAATCCCCGATTATGTTCTGATTTATTTGTTGTTTGATAGTCAACAGTGTTATTTCTTATCTGTTTATCTATTCATAATACCACTACTGGGAGAGATTATTTTCTCGGTTCCCCTTCTTTTCTAAATAATAGAAAGTAGAATTTGCTACTTCATACTTGAAGTAACATAATATTTGTTTTGTTCATTTTTTCATAGGCTTTGAGACATAATTTACTTTTGCGTGCATCATGTAACAATCGATGTCCGCTTCCATACAATTCAACATTGCATGGTGAAAACTCCTTCGGCACTACATCTTGCCCTGGTTGCTCAATTCCATCTGATACTAATTCCAACAAAGTTTACCTTAATCCATCTGAAACAAATGAGGATGTACACGTCAGTGTTGTATCGACTTCGTGCCTACAAAAACTTCGGTCGTAAGTATTTCACTTTTTTGAGGTAGGATTTGCCGTGTATGCTCTTACAATTATTTTTGCGGGCATTAGCCAGTTATTAGTAGCGATTGTAGATGTCACAGTGTTTGTGCCTGATTAGCTTAGTTGCAAGACCTGCGATCCCCGAGCAAACCGTAGGTTTCCCCAATGCTGCAGATATACTTTACTAATGAGTGTCAAGAAACTGTCAACGGACTCCTTGTTTTTAATACAAAGTCATTTCTCACTGAAATAAGCACTTTGAAATCCAATGGTCATCTTCTGTGAACCTGAATTCTTATCAAAGAACTTTTGATTGATTTAGAGTACTGACGGAATTCTGACTAATCAACAAGATGAAATGTTATAGCTGAGTGATAACTAATCAGGAGTCTGAAATCACTGGCTTGGTTGGACTAGAGTTGTAACAGTACTTTCAAAGCCAAAGTGAACAGTTATCACGAAGACTGAAAAAGTTTCCACTGGCTTACCACTACATGTTCTGCAAAAGAGAACTTGTCTATGTACTAGAGATCCAGATCGAAGTAGTATGACTCAATACTATCTGTTCGATAATAAATGGTTAGTCGAAGCTGAAGAAAGGTCAACTAGTAGGTACCTAGTAAGTGTGGGGTTATCTTTTTATCTGCCGTAATAACCCTAATTCTTTGGTGTTTCCACTGATCTCTAAACCCAGAATTCAATAATTCGAACGCTAAAGTGTTACTAACTAAGCTCTTAAGTTGTATGCTAACAGTCAGCGGATTACAGGGGTATGAGTCTGAAGAGTCATAAATATGACGAAATGCACTTCCTTGGTTCTGTTGCCAACATCTCTCAAGGCAGTATTATCGTACAGTGGTGAGACATTAAAACAGCCACCCAGTAATTTCTTTCATCAAAACAGTCTGGTTTAGTCTGATCCAGTGTATGAACAGTGGCATACTTTGGTGATTGTTTTTCTTTTTTCTTCAGTGTTCCATATTTATGATTGGGATGAATTTAAATGAAAACACGAATTCCTGGTGCATTCTCATCACTCTCGAGTTTTGAGTATAAAATTCTAATGCACCGCTGCAATGAGATGAAATGTGAATAGATGTTTGGGTTCTTGGCTGAAGGGTTTAAGGAGTTGACTTTCGACTAGTGGGTCACAGGTTTAAACGCTCCTCCACCTAATGAGATTTGGACAGCCTAGTAGTATTATTAGCCTCCACACAACAGATATGGCTCATTATCTACTGCACGGATGTGAACATGGTTATTGAGTGGATTTCAATTTTTCGTTAACAGACTAGTAATTGATGTACATGTAATTGCTTAGATATGGGGTTTGTTTGTGCTATAATGGTATAAAGCAACATAGAAATCGAAGCACAAGTGAGTAGGCAACTGAACCTAGAAATCAACTGAAAATGAAGATAAAGCAGGAATAAGTTATGATGAATTTGGCAATTAAGATATCCTAAGAAATGAACGCCAATACAAACAGCAAAGAAAACCGATAATGTTTTATTATTATATGCATAGGATTGGTCGGTAGGTCAGAGAAGAATGAATTTTTAAATAAACATTTTCTTAGTAAACAGTTTTCGTCTTATAATTTTACTACAACCGCTACAACTCACGAGAAAACAGATGTGAACTGCATCTGATACTCGTATTTGAGGAATTGCTGGGGATGTATCTAACTGTATCTACGACAACTTCAATGTAATAAACCACACTTTTAATCATCAGAATAAAACACTAACTTCCGTGGTATGGGTAACTGCAAAGTATCAGTTGTCTACATACTTTCAAAACCTTAATAATCACTGTTAATCTTCGTAAACATTGTCCTTACGCTTGTTTTCACGTATATCACCTACAGTTCCTTCAGCTGCTGTGTAACTATTGCTAACAACTCCAGAAGGCGAGACATGACATTATTCTGATACCCACTCATTTCTGGCCAACATCAGCTTCAGATAGAGTGAGGAAATGTTTCAAGAGTCTTTGTATTCCAGGGAGGTGATTTGTGATGAAATTTTATTCCCTGAGGAAGTTGGTTAAATCATGAATCTTCTTCATTGTGTACACCATCGTCAACACAACGGAAAAACAAGTGAACTATAAACTTTTCAACAGTAGCGTAGTGTTTTATACGATGAAACTAGGATGTAATTAGTTATGCCTGCAACTTTGCTTTTACCCTCTGTATTCCTATTTCAATTGTTTTTTCTTTCTCTTCGTTCTCTAATGTTTCTATTGTTTTTGTTGATAGATTAGGCTGACGTAAAGACACTTATTGATTACTGACCAAGCTGATTCCTTTCATCTCGGTGACCCCAACCAGGTAGTCTACATCTCCCCACATAGCTCATACCAACAGTAAGAGACTTGGTGCCAGGTCTTAGTCTGGCCACCTTGAACCCTCTTCCAACCTAATCCTACTTCCCCTAGCATGGAACGTCGAGGTAGGCGGTGGCTAGACATGCAAAGTACATGTCCAAGCCGTCCCAGTCCACTATGTTCACTACCTCATTAATCCAACTTGCCTGTCTTACCTAGTACCCTTCGCATGACCTCAGCACTGCTCACGCGATGATTCCACCAAGCGCAAGCAGTGCTACGAAGACACATGATCAAAATCCTGTAATCGCTTCATGTCTTCTACTTTTAACCACCATTTCCCACAGCTGTATAACAGGACAGAACGAACTGCAATACAGGTTACTCATCCTTTGATATAGTCGGGTTTTTCGGCAGTTGGCACCAGAGATGACACAAGTCGGCAAATGTCGAACGGGCCTTCTGTATCCGAGCTGAGATTTTGTCAGCGACCAGGGAGTTCCGCCTGATGCAAATCCCCAAGTAAGTGAAGTGGTTGACACTTAGCTGTTAGGTGTGATTCCTTTTTAGGTTGTATTGGACTAGGTCTGCTATGCCATTTGGTCTTTTTGACCATACCACAGAGTAAACTTTTTTTAAGGTTTGTGAACTAAAATAACGCTAAACGATTTCAATAGTTCGTCTTAAATTTCTGAAAGACTTCGTGTATAGTAGGACTATTCGTCTATTAGTTTCCTAGGCTTGATTTTACGGTTGGCAATGAATTCATCAAATTTCTGTAGAAGTTTTTATTTGTCTAGAATGGTAAAAAATGCTTCTTAATTAAGCCATCCAGGTTAATCTCACATTCACTAAAAGTGTCTCATTTGTTGACCGGTAACATTGAGTCAACATTAGACGTAGATAAATCATACTGCTATTAACTATTATTAGAGTAGGTTAACGGGTGATTATTAACTATTTTTAGAGTACCTTCTCTGAATTCGGTTACACATCAACTTTAGCAATGTGTGCATGTGCTTAACTAATGTGCATAAAAAATTGCTACTGGGAAATCGTCGTGATTTTGAGTGTGTTTATATTTAATTACGGTGTTATTAAGCAGTTATTAAAACTCATACTGATGTAAATTTATATCCTTTGTAGTTTGCTGTAAAAACAATTAGTAAAAGTTAGTAGATATCTACAATTTCACTAGAACTGATTGACGTCATATCAGTTGGATCATGTTGAGGAGCAGTTTGAATATAAACTGAATTATAGTCTTTGTAGTCATTACCAATAGTAATGGATGACGGAAACAAAGAAGATTGGGAAAGGTATCGACATTCGAAAAAAGCTGCCAGGTTTTTAAGTTTATCAAAGAAACTAATCCTAGGTGGTGGTTATTGATGCTATGAATGTGAAGAATACGTTTTCGATGATCTCTAGTAAGTTGATCGATGAATGGGACTCTTTGGTACACAGTTTCAGGTAACTTGTAGCTAATTTTTGATGACACTTCGTTCATTTACAGCTTGAATGAAGTATAGACAGTAATACTTCAACTTTTACCAAACTTTGTAAGTTCTTTTCTAAAGGGATATTGTATCAACCAGTAGGTTCTGACTATTTGCCTTCAGAAGTCTATAACGAGAATGTAGTTAGATATTTCTGGTTAAACTAAGTGAAGTGTTGTCTGAGATGTGGAGAACACACACAGTTCCCTGGAGTCGAGCTCAACCGCTTATGAATCCTATCTGAAAGAAAAGCAGAAATCCTCATGGTATGGACACTAAGAAATTAGGTTAACTAATTGAATGTCTGATATCCTGCTTAGGCGGATTTCGGGAACAGAAAATTTAACCATTTCCAGGGCTAAATACTAAACATTAATTAAATCGTGTATCTAAATTTCATTTAATTGTATCAAGTAAGATTTTTCCCCCTAATATCTGCATATTTTATGAAAAAGTACAATTGTTCTTTATTCTGCAGCTGTCGTGAATTGTTTATTCCTTATTGATTGGACTATTTACTAGGTGTAATTCTTATGCATTAGCATTTTGGCCAAGTAATGAGAGGTTTCTTAGGCTGCACTATAATCCTGTTATGTGAACGATTTTCTCTCAAGGTCTATCGATCGTCATGTACAAAGGCTATGCTGGAATAACCCAGTCAAGTCAAACAAAACCTGCTAGATGAGAATTAAACAAACTAGCTAAGAGCATTGTTAGTTGTACTACTATGTTAAGTAATGCTGACGAATTTGTGAGATGAGTGACGTTTTGGTTGTAGTTAGCTGACTGGAAGTTGGAATGTATTCCTTTCAAGTTCATATCCCAGTTAATTCTTTTGACACAAGGTTTATACTTAATTTTGACTCATCGTTTTACTACACCATGGATGCACAATATAGATTTCAAACCGGAATTTTTATTGTAGTGGGGATAAATAAACCATGGGGCTCACATACTACTTTAAACGCACATAATCGAAGTAGCTTACTCATTAGGATGTATGTGATTTCTTATCAGGCATTCCACTTTATCTCTGTATCAATATATCAATCCAGTTTATTTGTGTAGCCCCTTTGTGTTGTAGTGTATGATTATATAAACATCTCATAACAGAAATATTTTGCTATTGCAATCTATCAGTGTTTGTGTTATATTAATACAATGCAATAT